AATCTAAGAATAAAAGAAATAAGTTGTGGAATTAAGCTTTGGATGGTTTTGGTCAGTGTGTTAATTTTTAAATGTTATTTTCATGGATTGAATTTATGCAAACCGTTTGAAATGAATAGATCAAGTTTTCTTCTTCTAAAATTTTTACTATTACTTTCACAACCTACGGACTAAACTTCTCATTTATCACTACATGTGTCTTTTACTCTTTCTTCTCTATTTCATGTAAGAATTTGAGTTTTTTTAAAAAAACTTGAAATATTAAAAGATACAAAAAAACAAAGAATTCCAACAATTGTAACAACAAAGGGAGAGATAACTGCTACTCGAAGACTGGAGACTTGAATATTGAAAACAAATACTTTTACTTTCACTACTGATTATTCTGGTCTGGAACTTTAAAGTCTCACAGTTTGTTTATAGAAAGTGATAAGAAGTAAAGCACTATTATTAACAAAATTAAATTTTACAGTCCCCTTTGCTTCTGGAATCCTCAAAGCAGGGAGGCCAGCAAGAATCTGTTCTAAGAAACTATACAATTCCTAGGTGTAGCTCAAGAAAGATTTATGCAAACTTCCTGACATATAGAAACTAACATAGTGAATACCCAGATATAAAAGAGAATGAGTTTCTGCAGAACCACAGTATACTGAAGTGAATCGACTTATTCTCTCTGGATGGAACTGAAAAAGGGCTGAAAAGTGAGGCCTCTTTTATATTTATAGATTTAATTTTCAATTCAATCCTCATTTTACATTCTCTGTGGTATAACTTTAATTCTGGTATATGTTTAAATCCTGAAGTGACTTGAATATTAATATTTATTTTCTCCAGCAATGACTGCAGAACGGAGAGAATCTAGGGCAAACTGGAGAAGTATTATTGTTTTGCCTCAATGAATAGTTCTCTAATTTTAGCTGAGATTTTTAACAGCAACATCAGCCCAACAGATGTTTACAGTCACATTTTAATAGTCACCCTAAAAGTGATGGGTTTAATTTTATCCTTATGTGACAATCTAAAGATAGATGTGTTGATTTGCAGCGTTTTTTTGTTTTTGTTTTTTTGGTTTGGCCCAAATATCTTACAGATTTATTTTTATTTGAAAATGGATGATCCCAGTAATAGGGAATAACATCAACTATGGTCTAGCAATTGAGGCAGTGTAAATAATTAAGAAGCTCCACTGCCATCACTCTGCTAAACAACTAATTCCCACAACACTGTCAAACTATTTACTAAGACTGTATTATTATTATTCTCATCCTTCCTATTACCTAGCTCCTTTTCTACTTATGACTATAACTTTGTTGCTAGTATCCTTACAATTTATATTGTTTTATTTAGTTTCCTACTATGATTTTTGTTGATTGCTTATTCAGTATCCTATGACTATCACTAACTGTTGTATCTTATGATTCATGATGAATATATTTATTACTATGATCATGATTTATCACTTATATCTTTTATGTACACTGAGAGCATACATACCAAAGACAAATTCCTTTTGTGTGTCCAATATCAAATGGCCAATAAAGAATTCTATTCTACTCTACTCTTCATATTTACAGCCTTTCCTATATAAATATGGAAAGGAATTAAATGTTGATAATATCTGTCTCTATTTTTTTTGTTAATTCTACAGTTGAAAGGTTGATTACTACAAACTAGTAGTAACTTTCGCCCACCCAATCTGGCTACAAGACGCAAATGTATTTTAAAACATTAATTACCAAGAGATAAAGATGGTGAACGTCACAAAAAGATCAACCTAACATAGATGGCATTTATTTATTTATCATACATGGACTAGCAATATAAATTAACATTTCAACTAGATTAGTAGAACCCAATAAAATATAAATGATAAAAAGATCTATGTTCAGATATCAATGTCTAGTCCAGGGGTGTCAAACTGGTGGCCAAGGAGCTAGATGCGGCATACACAGGCCACGCCAACCCCAGCTCTGTGAAGGGAAAACACACCATGATACATCACGTAATGGCAACATGACACCCATGGTCTAGGTCATCTAACCATTAAAGCACAGCATCATTTATATTTTAAAAAATCAGCTAGTTCACCTCCTCATGATATACACTGGCTAGCATGTAAACAAACTAGCAACTTCTGGCAGCCAGAAGCTACTCTGTAGATTCTTCTGGGTTTCCAAATACATAGATGGCAAATAAATGGGAACAGAACTGAAAAGGGTTTTGCTGTTTAAATGGGGGAGGGAGAAGAGAACAGTATTTTAGATAATAGAAGTGAGTCAGGTTGATCTTTTTGTGACTATCACCATCTTTGTCCCTTGGTAATTAATATTTTAAAATACCTTAGCATCTTACGGCAATTGTAAACTAATCTACAGTTGAGATATTCCTAGCTTGTCATACTAGTAGTGATCATCATATACCATCTACAATTGTGATATTTGAAGCCAGAGTAGTAGCTCAATCAAAATTCCTAGACATTATCATCTCAATTGATTTTGAGAATATTGAATGAAAACCTATTTATAGTTTGCAACCCAATGTAGGCATGGGCCCATTTATTTAATTATAGGCTATATATTCCTTGTCACAGATTAACAGCTCTATTTTTCATTAATTTTGATTCTTCTTAGAAGAAGTGCAGGGGCGTCTTACAGAATTACCTTTGGTTTTAATATCTCTATGTTCTAGATAGCACTAAACTGGCTTTTAAATATCAAATGTGGGATTCTGAATTCTAGAGAAATCATATATGATATATGTTATCTTCAAAAAGACAAAGAGCTTCCGTGCTATTGCTCTTATAGAAATTTGCATTTAGTTGAGTATACACAAGCAAGAAGCTGGAGAAAAATGCAAGTGTCTCTCAAATGAAACAGGAAAGCTAAGCAAAGAGAAGCAGCCAAAGCAGCAGGCAAATGGGAGAAAACAAGGAAATTAAAAGCAAATTTCCAAAGCGCATCAAGGAAAGGCAACAAAGTTTCACTTCCAAGCAAGTGTAAGATGATTGCTCGAAAGGCTACACCAGGAAAGCATTTCCACAAGGATTTGAACATCATTTACTGCTCATAAAAACGTCTTCAAAAACTAGCAAGAGTAAGAACTGTCTGAGCACTAAGGTGTTAAGATGGTGAGGATAAACAGAAGAGCTGTATACTAGCAACAAAGAGGCTCAACTTGCTCAGAATGATGAGGAAAGGGAAGCAGAAATAGAATTGGTCATCCTTCAGGAAGATGTTGTGTAGGCAATGAACCAACTGGCCCAAAAATCCCAAGGCTGTAGTATTTCTTAGGCCTGCTTCACACATAACCATCACAGCTTTGTACCGGAAAATTTTGGGAACATATACAAAGCCTCAGAATTGGAAATGAGCAGTGTTTGTTGACTCCAAGGATTTTCTGCAATTATTTCACAACTGCCATCATCCTTCATTCTAGCAAGTTTCTCCTTAAGATTGTACAGTTTATTCTGAAACACCCCCCCCCCAAAACAGTTAGATCCCATCGAAAAAATCCCTAAGTGAGAAGAAATCCATGGGAAAATACCTGACTCTCCCTTTTCCTTTAAACCACTCACTGCCGACTGCCAGAAATGCTTATTGCTGGAGAGACCTTGCCTCCATTCATAAGATATGTTGTTTCATTGATCAATTAAGGCAGAGATACAATGTGACCTCAAAAAGCCAGAGAATGGCAATAAAACTCAAAGTGCTGGGATTCCTCAAAGCACTGAGATCGTAGGCAGCCAGAGACTGATTACAGAAAACGAACTAGATTAAAAGGCATGGGAATTTCACACCTATGCCCAAATTCCTTACACCCAAGGAGGACCGTGATAAGAACCATATGCCCCAGAGAAAAACCTCTTACTGACAAGGAAGATAACAAGCAAGATATTTCTCCTCATTCCTCTGGTCATAAAATCATACATCACACTCACATTTACTTCACAAACATAACACAAAGGGCCTCAAATCCCATAAAAATCTCACTAATGTACCAGTCAATGGCTAGCTACTCGCAAAACAAACTGTTGTTGTTTCTGGAATAAATAAATAAAAAAGAGACCTCCTTACCAGCAATTCATCTGGCATCTTAATCACTTGCACTCTTTTCCCAGTTCGAAAGAAAAGGAAATTCTCCCAACAAGATCATACAATAGTGTCTGGTGCCATCCATCAAAAAAGGAATTATTAGATATTCAAGCTGGTTTCAGAAGGGACCATGGCACTGGCAATTATATTACAAATTACTCTGGATCATGAAAAAATCTCAAGAATATCAAAGGAACATCTACATCTGCTTTATTTACTACAAGAAAACCTTCAATTATATCAATCATGATGTGCTTTAGAGTCCTAGAACAGGGGTCCCTAACCCGCAGTCCGTGGACCTGTACTGGTCTACGGCATGCCAGAAACTGGGACGTGCAAACAAGCGAAGTCCCATCATGGGAGGCAGGCAGCACGCGAAACCACACCGCCTCTGGTCCACAGAAAAACCTCTCTCCATGGAACCAGTCCCTGGTACCCAAAAGGTTGGGGGTCGCTGTCCTAGAAGACTGGGGGATGCCAACACATCTGGTCAAATTGATGTAGTCCCTTGTCCACAGATCCAGAAACCATTGTGTGAACACCATATAAAGACATTGATTGGTTCAAGATAGAGAAAGAATTGTAGCAAGATAGCATTCCTTCACTTTTGGTATTCAACCTGTATGTCAAAATGATCATAAGGAATCTGGAATTTGAAGAATCAAAAATCAGGGTAAAGATTGGAGGAAGAAATATCAACAATCTTTGAAATGCCAACCACACAACTCTACTTTCAGAAACCAAGGAGGGCTTGAAAGAAAGTCCAAAGGATTAAAAAAGAGGGCAAGAAATTTGACCTCTCCCTGAACATTAAAAAGACTAAGCTAATGACCACTGTGAGGAATGAACATGTCAAAATAACAATTGACAATGAAGAGATTAAAAGTGTGCAAGTACACTTCTCTAGGATCGCACGTTGATCAAAGCAGTGAGCACAGACATAGGAATAGAGTTAAATTGTACTGGATCACACAGCAATGATGAGCATGAATTGTCTGGCAACTAAATGCAGATTAGACTGCACCATCAGGTTTCCCACAGCTACTTACGATTGTGAAAGTTGGACTATTAAAAAAAAAACTAGGCAGGAAGAAAATTAGTCTGTTTGAGATGTGGTGCTGGAGAAGGCTCCTCACACTCCTTGGTCAGCAAAAGTGACAACAAGCATGTACTGTGGAGTGTATAAAACCAGACATATTGCTGAAAGGCAAAATCTCAAAATTCCACCTTACTTATTTCAGCCATGTTATGCAATCAAACTCATTGGAAAAGGCAGTTTTGCTCAGAATGGTCAGTGATAAAAGGAAATAGGACCACCCAAAAAACACAGTTGCTAGGCATAATCAAAGCCAATGCCAGCCAGAGCATAAAAGAAATGAAAGAAGCTGTAAAAGACTGGAAAATGTGGAGACAGGTGGTCCACAGAATCGCAGAGAACTGGATATGATTGGATAGCAATAGCAGTTAGACTTATATACCGCTTCATAGGGCTTTCAGCCCTCTCTAAGCGGTTTACAGAGTCAGCATATTGCCCCCAACAACAATCCGGGTCCTCATTTTACCCACCTCGGAAGGATGGAAGGCTGAGTCAACCTTGAGCCGGTGAGATTTGAACAGCCGAACTGCAGAACTGCAGTCAGCTGAAGTAGCCTGTAGTGCTGCACTCTAACCACTGCGCCACCTCGGCTCTAATGGATGGATAGCATCATTGTTTAACAATGATGGCTGGCAAGCTGGAAGAACAATATGTATCCTATCTCTTTTTTTTTTCTTTTCTTTTAATGACACCGTAATCCCTTGCATCAGGGTGGAGTCTGGGCAACTGAATGGAGCTGAGTGTTTACTGGCCAGATGCCCTTCCTGTCGCCAATGCAGAGTTCGCAGATGATATTTACTCATTGTGCCCAGAGAGAAGTATCTGTCGTTACCTAGGAGCGAACTCACAGTCTCCTGCTTGTGAGGTGAGAACTCCACCTCTACGCCTCTCCACCACTCATGTATCCTTTGTCTTATCAGGCATTTATTATTATGGTTGGTCAAGGACCATAATAATTTTTTTAAAACAAGGTTTCCATGCTATTATCCCACGATCCACCTCTCCCCAAATCTCTTATTGTTGAGGGAAAAAAACCTACAAACGGTCCACAACATCTACTTCACCTCAATGAACTCAATATATGTTGTTGCGTATCCGTCACCTTCTGCTGGCCATATATATTATGACTCTCACCCCAGGATCAACAACCAGAAAAGGAAACTCTAAAGAGTTATTATCACAGTGCCCCAAATTATCCCATTACTCACTACTGGAGGCTGGATTTGCTGCAATAGTTCCATTTCATCGTCTTCTGGATCGTCAAGAACTACCACTTCTGTGCTTGGTGTTCCTGATTGTTTCTTAAACTGGGGGAATCTTGCTGATACCTGCAGCAACAAGAATAGGCACAAAGTTCAATTTGAAAAGGCCAATGAATAGGCCTTTCTCAGTGCTGAAAGCCTACTTCAGACAACAAATCTGACATCAGAAGGGAATTGTACATACAAAGATACGCAGAAATGACATTTCAAAGGAAGCTGAAGCACAGATTATACAGAGAAATATAAATACATGGGATTACAAAGCAGACTACAAGACATCTCCTTGAAACATCTCTTTAAATGCACAGGCCTAGAAATCTTTCTTGTATGGTTGAAATCCATGAAAATAAAGCCATAAGAACATAACATAAATAGTTCCCTGATGGATGGCATCCTTCGTCCATCTAATCCAGTAATCTGTTCTTCACAGTGGCCAAAAAATTGCACACATACAAAAAATCCTAGGAGATTGCCTTCAAAAGCAGTCACACTGCCATCAAGTCTAATAGTCGCTGACCTCTAAGAATTGGTCCAAGTGTTTTTTGAAACCAGCCAAACCTGGGTGGAATAATACAAAAGCAAAGGATTGAGAAATTAAATTTCTTCCCAGGTCAAAACTTGGCAAGCATCAAATTGTAATTTAAATTTGTTTGGTTCTGAATTGGAAGAACTGCTAAGTCTGTACAAAGTCTATTATTTCAATTAAGTGGGTGACATCCTTTCCTTTTGTTCTATACTACCATATTCACTCTAGCAGGGAGCAGAAGGACTTGAATTATAACTGAAAAACATTTCACCAAGCCACCACGTTCCAGTAGGACTTAATGATGCTGGAACTGCTGGCCAAAAATGGCTTGCACTCTAACGGTTTGAGTCTGGCTCTGTGAGACGGAGTGAACTCCCATTTGTTGATCCCTAGCTCCTACCCACTCAGCTGTTCAAAAGCATGCAACATTGCAAGTAGACAAATGAGTACCACTTCAAGGGGGGGGGGGAACTAGCTGCTTTCATGTGTGCAGAGAGCAGAAGCTGGCAATGAACCTGGCCAGACACGAGGCATCAAAACACAAGGCGAGGTGAGACTGGTAGAGAAGACTGTAAGAGCCAGCAACCTGAGGGCTGCTACTTAATAGGTGTAAAGCTAATTCACCCCCAATGGTGTACCAAGGATAGCCACGCAAGCACCAAACAGAATGATCTAGCAATCTAGACTGTCAGGGCTGCATTGTGTGATTTCCCTGACATTGTATGCCATATGCAAAATAAAGAAATAAATAATACAACAAGCAACCAGAACACTAAGGTGATTTGACAAGGAAAGACACCTTAAACTACAGCTTACCAGAGAGTCACTGGATGCCTGAAAATTCCCACCTGGTTCTGCATATTCTTGCTTGTTTTTGGGAGAGGTGGCAATAAGGAGATTGATTACAGGCAGTTTGGTATCTGGATCCTATGAGATACAAAATATTAGAGCCTATAAATGGAGGTTTTAAATCTATGTTTCGAGCTGCAATACAAAGTGCCGTTTTTAAAAAAAAGAGATACAAGCAGACTCTACCACTGGCAGTATATCACTGCTGCTCTTTCTCAAGTCTAATCATGTCATGTTAGCATGTCCATTCAATAATTAATTACTCTTGGGGGGGGGGAATCATGTTCAGGATAACATACACACACGCACACACACACACACACACATCTGTGAGATCACTCTCTGCTTGACTTTTGAAAACTAGGTGTCCCATACAAACAGAATAAAAAAAGAGAAAGCATATTTTAAATAAGCTACCAAGTGCGGTTAGTCAACAAAGGCAGTTTCAAAGGAATACATGCATGGCAAAATCTACATTTTTTCTTTCGGTATATTACAAAAAAGAGAGAGAGATACTTGAAAAATGCAAGTTTGTTTGCAATTTAAAACCAGTTTTGGTACAGTCAACACATTTAGGACGGGACTAAATGTGTGGCTCCTGCATGTCCCTCTTTCATTTTAAAGGAAGCAAATCAGTAAATCCTAATGTACTAGAAAGCACTTGTAATGCAGTGTTTTCAACGCCAAACAAGCTAGGCAAAAACAGCTTTTGGAAATGATATGAACAAAAATGCCAGTTCTCAATCCCTGTCTTAGTCAAATAAACACCGTTAAAGATGAAAAGCTAGTGCATTCAGAAATGCCTGTGTTGTTTAAGTCAAACAACAACGATCTTCTAAAAATCTGCAAAGCATTAGATTTTCAGGATATTGCCACCCAACTTTTCCAATGATCTCCTCCCACACACAGATACTTTCCCAAACCTACAAATCAGTGATCTTTCTCGGTGATCAGATATTCAGTTTTGTTTTAACCTCTATTACTGATACTTTTATCTTTTTCAGCAGCTATCTGTAAAGTAACATTCTGTTTTCATTTCATTGTTACTCTATTTTTCAGGCAAGTGAAAACAAGGTCCAACAAACATAGCAACTCCTCCCGCTCTAAGCATGCAGCCCCAACATTTGACGTTGGCGAAACAGGAGAAACAGGTTAGGGTAGGAACAGTCGTACGTGTCTTAAAAGGTACCAGTTTTCACCCACCTTTCCTAAGATCGCGGAGGGTAGGATGGGGCGGTGAAGTATAGCTTGCTCTTGCTGGATATATGCTGGCACAACGGAACACTCCTTTGTCGGTTGGTGGGAGGCAGAGGACATGGTTTCCTTCTTCAGCTTCACTGGCGGGGGTGGCTGTGGCTGTGGCTGCAGATGAAGCTTCTCCTGCTTGGGCATCTCTGAGCCCAGGGATTTGGGCACTTCAGGCCATTCACTGATCAAAGAAGATTCCTTCAGTGCCACAGGGAAGGAAAAGAAGAGACATAAGCCACCTTATACAGGCTCAGTTGATTTGTCTATCGAATTCAGAATCATAAGGGACAATTACTGTGAATAATTCCACCACAGTCGTAGTAATGGTGGGACTTTTCCTATTCTGACATCAACTGGGAAACGAATTCTGCAACAAGCTCCCAAGGATAGGACAAGAAGCAATGATGGAAGTTTGTCAAGAGAGCCAACCTGAAAATAAGGGGGAATTTCCGGACAGTGAAAACTATTAAGCAGTGGAATAACTTTATTTTGTTTTATTATTTATCTATTCGCTTATTTATCTTTCAAGCTTCTTAACAGTCCATCACTCTCATAAAAGGGCTCTTGCCTTCTGGAATTGTGGGTGCTCCATCGATGGAGGTTTTTAAGGGGGGGAAAAGGATAACGATTTCTCCAAGATGGTAATGAGGATTCCTACCTTGGACAGGGGGATTGATTAGAAGACTTCAAAAGGACTATGATTCTATGAATCTATGAATTCCAGATTAGGAAGAAATCATCCCAGTTAAGTGTTGAAAAATGCCAAAGGCTGAACCTAGAACTGTTCCACAAGCAAATGTACACTGGTCCTCCCTAGACTTTTTTTTATAAGCAAGGTGGTCCTCACTTATCAACGGTAATTGGGGCTGGGATCTCCATAGCTAACAATACGGTTATGACATAGTGTGTCACATGACCATGCCAATTTATGACAGCAATTCTGGCAGTCGCTGTCAACAGACAAATTCCACACAGTCACAACATTGTGCAATTGATAGGTCCTTGCAGTCTTAAAAACTCAGAAAATATTATCAGTTCAAACTAAGGACAGCGGTTAAGGCTTATTTACTGATGAGAAACATATCTCTGCTGATATTTATTTATTCAGCCCATCTCACGGAAAAGAGACACTAAATTTTGCACAATAAAAAGAATACAATCAAAATATTAAAAATAACTATGATTAAAAGATGACAACAGTAATTTACTAGCCAAGAAAAATGTTAAAAACAATGCAACTATCTGATTAGATTGCCATTCCCTTGAGATCCCCAAGCCCAATTTTACCTAATTTTTAAATTAATTGATCTCCATCTGTATGTACCAGATATTCTAACATATATCCCCACCTATCCTTCTGGCAAAATAGAATGGGAACTGAAAAGTGAACTGGATGGATGGATGGATGGATGGATGGATGGATGGATGGATAGATGGATGGGACGGAGGGAGGGCGGGAGGATCAAAATTCAGATGGATGACAACAGACTTATATTTATGGCAGTTGCAGTGTCTTGGGTCATGCGATCACCTTTTGCGATCTTTTGACAAGCAAAATCAACGGGGAAGCCAAATTCACTTAACAACCATATCACTAACTTAACAATTTAAATGATTCGCTTAACTACTGTGGCATCGTAAAATGGGGCAAAACTCAACAAATGTTTCATTAAACAACAGAAATTTTAGGCTCAATTGTGGTTGTAAGTTGAGGATTACCTGTAGTAAATTTAAGATACTCCCTCCTAAAAAGGGGAAGAATTGATTTTTAGAAAACCATGTACAAAAAATCCCTTAAAAGTTTCCAACTCCCATTCCTGGTTACCCTACGATTGCCCAACGCCAACTGAAACCACTCCTTGAGATTTCCTCCTGTGGAGGAAATGACACATTTGACACATTTACAGAATCCACACACAATAAAAAGGGAAAGGGATCCAGACCATCACTCCCTCCCATTGAGCCCTGGGGAAACTGTAGCTCAAATGACAAAATGGAAAGTTTATTATCTGAGAGTCTTAGTTGTCCCTTTGGAACAACGACAAAGTAACAACAGGTCTTTACACAGATGAAAAATGTGTAATAGTTTATAAGTGCCAGCTTGGAGGAGAGGAGGAGAAAAGAAATGCTAATAAAAATACGAAAAGGAGACAATGGGGAGGAAGGAGAGAAAAACAAGGTACAGATGAAATCAGCTCATTCTTTTATTGTTCATGGAAACTTGAGAATGAAGGTATTAGCCCACCAGTCCTTACATCCCCTCCAGGTAAAGCTTAGTTAAAGATTTAAGTTTGAGGGGGGGAAACTCCTCTGTGTTATTTTTAACCTTATTCTTAAGACCTTGCCAGATTGTTATTTTTTGTGTGAATCATCACAATCACCGCCATTGTTTTCCTTTCAGGATACTGGTTGAAATGAACCATGGGGAAATTCCTATAACAAGCCAAGCAGGCAAAAGGCCTGGCATCTCTTCAACAGCTCTTGTTCTTAAATTTATCTTTCTGCTATTCCCAAGCACACGGATTTCCTTTCCCCACCCATTCATCTCTGCTTATAGGCCCTTTGAGGTCCCCCTAACATTGGAAATTCCAATATAAAAAAGTCAGCCTTGCCTACCAGAGCCCAGGGAAGAATAAGGCCCTAGTTACCACTCTAAACTCAAAGGGTAAAAGCCAAAGGAGCCTATTGGCTGGGATGCTATCCTAAGCAGCATGTAACAGGTTATTTCTTCATGATTTCAAGTCCCAGGAAATAATACATCCCCTCACAATTACATAATCAATTAAGATACACTGAAATATACCTTTACAAATTGTCTCAATGTCGATTAAAATATATATTAAGATGAATGTCATTTTCAGTCCTTGGCCTCATTTTCTTGTCTATACACCCATAGGAAAGAGTGTTGTTTTGTGTGTCTTTTGCCTGAAAACCACTGCTTTTTTCTCTTTTTAAAAAGTCAAAAATGCTGACCTGCAAACTATATTATTTACATACATACCTGACCATTCCAAATTGCCTGCAAGAAAAACTATACATTTCAAGTTAAAAAGCAGGATTCAGATTGGTAATTTGGATTAGAATTCACAAATAGTTCAGACTAGTAAAGCATCCCTTATGTCTCTTCTCTAGATGGGCAATCAAGATCCTAATCTTACAATAAAGGCAGTAAATGCCCTAGAGTGAACAGAAAACTGAAATCCATAAATCAATATTCCTCTGCTCTCCATAGAATTACCACAAAATTTCTTAAGATAAAACCTCAATTTCTAGAAGAAAATATTTCCAAAGACTCACAACACACTCTGTGAAGGAACTTTTACGCAAGCTCTTTAATTTGCAAGGTTTATGCCACTCTTAGAACAAAGTTGTGGAATAGAAGGTCTCAATTTCTGTTGCTAAAGGTAAGAATGGTAGAAGACTAGTTTTCTAAGAATAGTAGAAATAAGAATAGTAAAAGACTAGTTTTGTTTTTAAACAAAAGCCAGAAGTAGTCTTCCAAGGTATTTTTCTTTTACGATTCTTAGTCTTTTTCTGTAAATACTTAGATAGCATGTCCATTTTCTTTCTTCCAATTCATCTTCCAACTTATTTTTACTATGGACTGGAGCAGATCTCTTGTCCAGATAGGATAGCAAATGAGTGAGACAATAAAGTCAGGATTAGTGATCAAAGACAGGTCAACGCAAAACCACCCAAGGCAAACTTTATGGTATATCATATACAACTAGAGTGGTAAATCAACAGATTATTTAGAAATATATGTCCTTGCTCAAGTACTTTTCTGGATTTCCCCACCTCTACGGCTGAAGAAAAAGATGACAGTATCCAACTCATCTTAACAGATACATAAGAGCCCATGTATCTCTTTTTGCATTCCCTCTATTTGCCTCTATATTCCCTCTATGTTTCATTTATAACTATAGGTGTAGCTTATACAATGCTTTGCCTTGCATGCAAACAGCTGTTCTAAAGTCATGCCAAGTGCAGATGTTTCATAATTTAAAGAATTCATCATTTTGAGAATCTAGGCCTTCTATTCTCAGCAGATTAAAACTACTTAGCACATGTGCATAAGGAAACATTTCCATGTAGCCAACCCAAGTTATAACCCAAGCCACTAACACTTATATGATCAGTATATGGTCTAAGTTAGGTCAACACAAAATCAAGAGAGCAAATTCTTTCCTACTAGCTCTTCCTTAGGTCCTACAACTTTCAAACTCTACAACTATTTAGCTCAGAGTTAAAAAGTCCACCATTGCAGTTAAATAAATGGGTGCTGAATTCATTTCTCCATAAGGAAGTAAAGAAACTATAGTTTTTTTTGTTTGAAAAAAAGAAAATTCCAACTTTCTCCAAATCTAAATGTTGGCTACATTCAGGAAAAAGAACTGAGCTGAAACAACTGGTCAAGCTGGTTTCTTTATAATATTTATGCCACTTAAAATAATGTTCTTTGATTAATCTTGTTAACATTTGACTGTATTATGGTATTGTTCCAGAGCGAGGTATTTATCCTGATCTGGTTAATCCGAATACAGATTAAAATACAGGAAGAAATCATTGATATGGTAAAATGTGGGGGGAAAGATAATATAAGGTTTATTAAACAAACAAGAGAAATATTTTATTGTCTGTCCAATGTCAGATTTAAGACTCTACCTTAACTTGTGCTAAGTAGAATCAAAACATGCAAAACTAAGTAGGCTTTATACAACAGCAGGCAAATCTGCACAAAACCATCTAGAGAAATCACATATGGCTGGGTTCATACAGCAAGAGATTATTAAAAACCCAAATGTTGGCACAGCACAATCTGTCAATCCCCTCAATTGTGTTTGATAAAGGCAATTCATTGATATCTATGGCACTGATAATAGCTAACTGAAAAGACTTTAAAGATCACTTGGCCCTATAGTTCCTTATTCTGTTTTATTGAAAACAAACCTAACTTCCAAAAGAAATAAAACTCTGTGGTTCCTTCTTCTGTTTTTCTGATAACAAACAACTTCCAAAACAAACATAACCCTTTGAGCTGTCCATTTATATCCTTCAGCTGAAGAATGAAGCTTTGTCCATCGAAGTGAAAACTCTGAATAGAAGCTGGAATGATTGGTTGCAAAAAAAACATCTCATTTTCCTCGTTTACTGAGCCAAATCTTATTAGTCAGACAACTTATCAAAAAAAATGGTTTCTAATTTAATTTGTTTTAAGTTTGTGTTCCTACAACTGAATTAGGGAATAAAGTGTAAAAAAGATATCAAGAATATAAATCATAGCTCCTTATTAATTATGAAGTTGGTACCCCACTTGGCCATAATATATATCTGAACATCAAATTTGAATGACAAGCATAATTCCTGCTCTTTGAAACACACTGAACTAGGCAGTGCTTGCTGACTGCTGCAGAAACTATTAATTTCAATCTTTCAATAGTTTGTATCAATAAAAGGAAAAGTGGACTCTTTTTGAAAATCATTTTATGTATTCACTTAATCCTACCATGACAAATCAGCAGGGACTGCTTCATAGCAAGAAGTCCTGGTTGTTATATCAAAAAGAAAAATCCTACAAATCAAATCCAGAGAAGTGTGACCAATCTCAGAGAGAAAGTCGCCACCAGTGCAGGAGACAGAGTGAAGCTGGAAGTAAAAAACAGTACAATATTTCTTTTGTATATCCAGTGCAATATCTTTTTCCATATCATTCTTGTGGCCTTCAAATCGATCTCAAATCTTGCCAGGTAAAATTTGTTCTTCTCCTACAGTAGCTTTTAGACACAGAAAGGCACACACTCTTAAATGCTGTAAAACGTATTGATCCAAAGAATTCCACTGGTGCCAGTTTGCTTCTATAAGTGACCATAAGTGTCGATTGTGACCTATAAAGCCCAACATGGCATGGGGTCAGGCTACATATGGAACCATCTTTGTCCCATTACGGTTGGTGCCGAGAGCCCTCTCTTTGTCTTTTGAATTAATTTCTAACAGATTTTAATAATCTTTGACTCCTTTTAAATTCTACCTTTTCTAAATTTGTAATTATCAGACGGTGTTTTTACATTTTAACAATTTATTGTACACTGCCCAGAGGCTGTCCCCAAGAGAGATGGGTGATTTAAAAATGTGAAGAAAATAAAACAAATAAATAAATCCCCACTTCCTTTAAATTCGTGAGATCAATCTATATAAACCACAGGAAGTGCACACAGTGGCAGTACTGGTTGAAGTTAATGAGTCCATCACTGTTACTCAATGTACATATTCTTCCTTTGTGCATGTGATCAGAGATAGTCTGTTTGGGCTAAAACAGGAACACGTACATAATTTGTTCCATAACTTTGGTTGCAACCCATTTGGTCGTGACCCAAACCTAATTTTGGAAATTTGGCAGTTACAAAAAAAAATAATTGGCGCGGAAGGAGAAATTGGCTGCAAAAAAAATTTTTTTTAGTCGGAGCCCAATTTGGTCATGGTCAGAATCGTTCATGACCAGAGGTTCTACTGTATAGTGGAGTTACTGACTGCATTCCCTATAACACACTGAATATTGTCTGGGAATTTTAATGCAGGAATTGATCTAAGGGAGAAAACGAATTATTATGGCTTTTTCCTGTCGTGTTATTTTGTCACTGCCACCAGATCAACCTTAAAACAAAAGATTTCAAACACAAATCAATTAGAATCTACTATGCTCCTCCAGGAGGTATTTATAAAAAAATGATTTCAGGCTACCCATCACTGGAATAAAGAAACCTGAGCTGATCAATCCTGACAATACATAGACATTAGATCTGACAATTAGACAACATGCTTTGGAACAAAATGCACATACTGCAACAAGACCTACAACATGCAAGGCTTTGTTAGTAGGAGCTCTTAATACCCACACTTAGCATAGAGAAGTATGAAACGGCTTACAACATACCAGTACTACATGATGAAAAGAAAGCTCTATTAATAGCAAGTAGCAAAGTGATGATAGAGAATACAATAAAACAAATGAGAGGGTGCACCAACCATGGGAAACTGCAGGCACTGTCTCCACCGGCACTTCTGCTGCTTGAGGTTCTGCCCTCCAAATTTGGGCTTGTCAGAGCAGAAATCACAGCGGCCACAGTCTGTTTTCAGCAGGCAGGCTTCACATTCACCACACTTCCGTTTTTGCCGATTTTTGGAGGAATGCTACAAGGAGATAAAGGGAGCTATCAAGCCAGGAAGAATATGCTGCAAGGCCTACTACATTTCGTATCTAAATAATCCAGTTATTTCTAAAAGGCTCAAAGTTTATAAACTCTGTACTATGTGAGAATTAGGAAATAAATCAATCTCAAATGCAACTAAAGCAGAAACAATTCAACCAACGTGCACAACTAAATGTCTATGGAGATTCTCATCCAGGTCACAGCTGTCCCGAAGGAGCTTTTTCAAGAGGCAACTGGACTTTCTTTGTTTTTCCTTGAAGACATTTTGCTTCTCATTCAAGAAGCCCAGAACTGAAGAAGCTTCATGGATGAGGAGCGAAATGTCTTCAAGGAAAAACAAGCCCAGTTGCCTCTTTTTAAAAAATCACCTTTGGGAAACCACAACCTGGATGACTGAGAATCTCTGTAGACAATTCAACCCACTCTATTCTTTTTCAGAAATCTTAAAACCATTGTGGTATCAGGAATTTTTTAAAATATAAAGCCAGTTGTTACAGTAAATTTTAGAAAATAAAGAAAATGAAAATTGTTCCCTGGACCTAGAAGGACCAACATAGCTCTTACAGTCTAACAAGAAACAGATTCAAATTTGTACTTCTAAAGAAGATTGCTGCAATATTCCTTACTTGCTATAGCTATACCAGTGATCAGTGAGATAAGGACACAGACCTTCATATCAAGTTTTAGCTGCTCAGAAGTTATGTGAATTCAACTTGTTCAACATGCTAGTTTGATCTGCTAGAACCATAGGGTGCTACTTGGAAGAATCACCTAAATATTAACATGAAAACTGACAACCTCCAAGGACTATACACTCAAATATTCCTTTTCTTTCTTATGTTATGTATTTATCAAGAATTATTGTTCTAAGATTATTGAAATTAGATCAGGTATTTTATTGCTGTCTCTGCCTCTTTGGAGAGTGACAGAGTTACAAAACTCTACAAAGCAAGTTCTATAGCTACCCACTTTCCTTCCTCCCACTTTGGCTACTCATAGCCCATTGGATCCCAATAAAGAATCTGTTTTGCACTTCACCTGGGAGTGTGGAATCCGCTTTGTAGTGGATTCACCTAGTACTCATCAACTGATGAGTTCACCTATTTAACCCATTTGCCCAACCTGTTAACTCAACATTGGCCATGTTCCAGATAAATCTGAAAACCAAAAAAAGAAACACATTTTACCACACTCTTCTTGAGTTTAGCCACAGGATGCTTGGGAGGACGGCCCACTTTCTTCCTCTCTTTCGCCACTCCCAATTGCTTCTTCTGTTGGGAGGAACCCAACATAAGTTAGTGTTGGGAGGACTTGAAATTCTTACTTGTTCCCCAAGACATTTTAGTTCAGAAAGTTGGAAAACATTGCGGCGTTCTTCTTCCACTGAAAGACTCTCTGCGGTTTGTGTGGTGTACTTTGAAGTACAAAAAAGACCCAGCATTACATGCCTTCTGTCATAGCATAGCCAAATGAAATGAGTAAAGGACTTATTAGAGAGGAGGAATCCAAGAAGCGTTATGGAGCAGCACAGTGATTTTGATGCCTTTTATTAATACCATCTACATTTTAATCATGTACCGTTAATCCTCGACTCATGACCACAACGGAGCCCCAAATTTCTGTTAAGTGAGACCACTGAGTGTATTTATCCCCATTTTATGACCTTTCTTGCCACAGTTGTTAAGTGAACCATTGTGTGGTTGTTAGGTTAGTAAGTTGACTTACTAACTTAAGTTGTTGTGTTAGTTGTTAAGTTGATAAGCAAATCTGGCTTCGCCATTGAATTTGCTTGTCAGAAGGTCACAAAAGGTGATCCCATGACCCTGGGACACCGCAACCGTTATAAATACATGCCAGTTGCCAAGCATCCAAATTTTGATCACTTGACCATGGGGATGCTGCAATGGTCAAAAGTTTGAAAAACGGTCACAAATCACTTTGTTCAGTGCTGCTGCAACTTTGGTCACTAAATGAATGGTTTTAAGTTGAGGACTACCTGTATAAGGTAACTGATTTGGAAGAATGATAAGTTTCCTCTCCCCCTTTAATATACATTTTAAACAGAAGGGCTGTTTTAGATTCAGGTACAGCACACTGGGATGCCTCTTCCTCTTACTGCTGCAAAGTCCACCCTGGCTACTCTTAGCAGTTCCTAGCACCATTGTTCCTAAAATGTATTGGAGCTACACTCTCCCAGCTTAGGAGTCACCGTCCCAAGTATGCCGAACACCACTGGGACCAATTTGGCCTTTATTTTTCCAAATCCTAGTTCCTCTAATTCCTTCTTCAGGCCCATGTACGTCTCCAGTTATTCATGTTCTTTCTTCCTGATGTCACTGTCACTTGGTACTGCTATATCTCTCACCATCACTGTTTTCTACTATCACAATGTCTGGTTGCCTGGCCAGTAGCTGCCTATGTATCTGAATCTGGAAATCACACAGGATCTTAGCCCTGTTATTCTCCATGACTTTTTGTGGAATGACTTTCTTCTGTCAGGCTTGGGAGGGTGTAGCCCATACACTGTGCAGGTGTTCCTATATACAATGCCAACTACCTGGTGGTGCTATTTAGTACCAGTAGATACAGAGAGTCTGTACCTTGGGTCCTTAGTGCAGTAGGCCCCTGCTTCTCTGGATATGGTGTTTTAGTGCCTGTTCTTCTGCTGCTAATATCAGTGTCTCACTGCTGTCTTTCACTCCAGCCTTTTCCAGCCTCTGGTAGAATTTCCCAATGTTGGCCATCACACTATCTGTAAATGATACATCCCATCCATGATCTTGTCTTGCCCTGATTCTTCCTCTGTTTGATCTTTCTCCCATGTCTGCTTCTGCCTCAGATATTCTCTCAGCAGCTTATCTTTGGTGCAATATTATGGAGGTATTCCTGGATGCTCTGGGTTTCATCCAAGATTGTGGACTACTAGACCCAACCCACCTTCCTTCCATCTGATGTAGTCTCTGGGTTGGGATGCAAATCTCCATAAAGAGCATCCAGGTCTCAACATGGCCAGCTACCATACTCTCCTTTGGCCAATTCACTATATTGGCAGAATATCTGATTACCAGCAGAGTGTACACGTTGATGAGGTGGATCTTGTTCTTCACATTGAGCTGGCTCTTCATAACCTGAGGTGGCGCGGTGGTTAAATGCAGCACTGCAGGCTACTTCAGCTGACTGCTAGATCAGCAGTTCAGCGGTTCAAATCTCACCGGCTCAGGGTTGACTCAGCCTTCCATCCTTCCAAGGTGGGTAAAATGAGGACCCGGATTG